GCCTTCCCTTACAGCCATTTGTCACCACCCCCAGAGCACACCTTGCAACGGATATCCTTGTTGATCAGCACATTCTTGCCCTTGTAGTTGAAGATGACATGAACCTTCTTGGTGCCAGGACCACAGATGTCCGGGCCTTGATGAGAAACAGATCCAGTCAGAGCTAGAGATTGTCCACCATTATGAACCCCTCCCCACCCATTTATAAAAAGAAAACTTGGTTCTTAAACTCAGGTCTGTCAAGGTGAAAAGACAAAATTCAGATATCTCTAAGGGACCGTGACTAGGGATTTAAAGAAAAAAAAAAAAAATCAGTGCTCTAGAAGTCAGTACCTTTACTTGCAGAATTAGTAAATGCCTACCTTATAAAATCGCGTAAATTAGCAGTCTTAAATCAACGATAACAATACAAAAAGTTGCTACTAACTGTAACTATTTTCTCAGCTTCCCCTCCACAGAAATGTCTAACCATTTAAGTGTTTTCTATGATCTTAAGACCACTTTTCATGGGCTATAAAGAACTCATGGGGTTTCAAACTCCCTCTAACTAATCAGAGGTCAGCATCAGGGTGGGGCCCGCTCACCAAACATGATGTTGTATTCAGAGTCTCCATGCATGTCTGTCTGGTCCAGACCATCTGGAAATAGCTTCACGTAGCCGCCCCCACAGTCGATGTTCTGTTCGTGTTTCACGGTGAACTGCACCACCAGTGTATGACCCTTATTGGAGAAGGGCTCGAATCTGGCCGACAGAGCGTAAAACCGGGCATCCTGGCTTGTCTGCAGCCCTAGCAAGGAACGGAGTCAGATCACGGCTCAGCAACAACCCCCGGGACACGCTTAGAATGGGAAATACATACGACTCTCCCTTCCTCCAACCTGTTCTACTTCTAGGGATACCCAAACTGTGTGGTGACTAGGGCTTCCTCCAGGAAGTCCTCCTGATCTGAGCACCCAGCCCTAGGCTCTTACCTTTATCTTTCTCCTGGTCACCGTAGAACTTGCCGGAACTGAGAACGAATTTGCCAAAATCCGGTTTGTGTTTGGATTCGATCCAGCGCTCGGTCCATCCATCTAGGGGACCAAAGGGGCAGGTCAGAGTAGCGGTGCTTATCACCCCCCACCAAACATCTACCGGGAGCTACAAACTGCTGGGGGCAAGGAAGGAGATTCCCCCTCCCCGCGACTGTCCCCACCCCAACCTCTAGCTTGACATTTCTGGTGGCTTAAAAGATCCTCGGGCGAACCCTAACTCCCGCCGCGGAAGGCCGCCGCGCCCTCCCCGCTCCCCAGGGACGCAGAAGGAAAGATCGCCTGCGGCTCTAGCCCCTGAAGGCCACTGTTTTGATCCTCTGAGCAGTAATTACAGGCGACACGCAGATATGGGCTGGGGGGCCAGCCGCGTCGTTAGGACGGCCTCAAGGCGGGACTAGCCGTTACCTCCGTCCAGAAACTGCTCCTTGAAGTAAATGGCGGGCTCAGCGGCGCCCAGGCCAAGAAGGCCGAGCAGCACCAGCACGGGTAGCAGCATGGCGGGCCGAGGGGGCGGCGGCGCGCGGGCCCTTTAAGTCACTCTACCAGCAGTAGCTCTGCAGTAGGGACGGACGGGGCCGCCAGCCGTGCGATTTTATACCCGGCCGCCTCTCAAACCAACCTGGTCCGGCCTCTTGGTCCTCCTCCCCCACCTTATCATTGGTCTGTGGCCACAGCTCTGCCTTTCCATTGGACCCTTATGGGTTCAGCAAGTTAGGCTGTGCCTCGGAACGCTGGGTTCCCAGATGGCCGATTTCTATTGGCCGCACCGCTGGCCAATGAAGGTCGACCACGCGTTGTGGGGGACGCCCACCGGTGGAGTGGGGGCCTCGAGCCCCTCAGGCCAGGTCATGTGACCAGACCTCGGCCCAACCCCGCCCTCGCGAGCTAGCAGCGCTAGAGATCTAGGCGTTTAAAGAATCCGCGCGAGCGCAGGTGCAGCTTCTTAGAGCTAGGGCCCTGCTCCAGCATCGACTCCGCTTATCCCCTCTACAGGGATGGGTAGGCAAGGTTTTCCTAGCCTTTTCTACCCTGAATTTGGGGAACCCCACCACTCCGACCCTCTCTCTCTCCATCTCTTTCTCTCTCTCTCTCTCTTAACCCCCGCCCCGCCAGGATGGGGCAGAGGGCATCGAGCCCTGGGGCTTCACTTCACCCCAGCGCCAGAGCCGTGCAGGCCTGCGGGGGAAGTGCCGGCTCTCTCCTCCGTAAGGCCCCTAGTTCCCTGGCAGCCTGTCAGACTGCTGCTGTGTGAGCTGGGGCAAGGCATTTAGCCTCTTTGAAGGCACAGGAGCTCCTGAAAGGCCAAGAGGAGCGACCCCAGCCAGCTGCTGGCCGGCAGCAATGCTTTCAAAGCTTTTAGGGATGTCTGGGACAGAGGGAAGGAAGCCCTGAACAGCTCGAAGTTGTGACTATAGGCTGGGTCTCCTACGGTTGTTTGCCTTATTGCAGCCTGTCCTTTACCCCCCATCCCCTCCTCAGCCGGTAAATGAAAGGGGGTCACTGCCTTGTGGTCTCCCACAAACGGCCTGCTTTTGCAATTAAACGGCTAAAGATGAAAGGGCAGGGGGTGCCGTTGGGGAGGGAAAAAATGGGACAGATGGTGGGGAAGATAAGGTCTAAGGGAGGTGGCCAGGACCCCTGAGACTAGAGCCTTCTTAGGAAGCCAGAGGCACATGACTGAAAGTGACACACCAGCTCCCTGTCCCTAGGCTGCAGGAAGGAGGAAGGAGAGGTGGGGCTTTCCCAAACTGAGCAAATTGGCTCTGGACCTGGGAAGGGGAAGTAAACTGCTGAAGGGGGGCATCCTGGCAAAAGGGTGGGGAGGGGGTGCTTCCCCTCTAGCAGTGGGGACTCAGAAAAGAGGGGAATGAGGAGTCTTGGAGAAGTTGGGGTTCTGCCCCTTCCCCAAGACAGTATCCAGTATTGCCCAACCTGGTCCTCCCCAACGAGGACCCCCCCAAGTCTGGGATGACCACTCTAGGCCTTCCACTGACCTTCCCCCCCACCTTCCCTCCCTTCCACCATGTGTCAGGGACACATGGGCTAGGTGCTACCTGCCAGAGGGTAGACACTGTGCCTGTCTTGTTCACCTCACCATCCCCCCCCCCACCCCACAGTGTCTCCTGCAGCACCGGGCACAGAACAGGCTTAAAACCTACTTGATGGGTGACAGAAGTAAGGAAAGGACTCTTGCTAGAATTAAATAAACAAAAATGGGGAAAGTGCTTCGAAGCTAAGAAGAGACTTTGAGGGATGCATTCTGAATTTTTATCAGGACCTCACTGTAGGTCCAGCATTGGGGGATATTAGTTAACCCCATTTACCACGCTCAAATAACAGTTGTGTAGCTAAATGAGTAGGTGCTTAGAACAGCACCTAACACAGAGTCCACACTCAATTTAGTACCAGCAAGTATTGCATATATGTGTGGGTACTGTTTCACTTAATTCTCACAGTAACCTGGGCTCATATCATTTCCATCCAAGTGAGGAAACTGAGGCACAGAAAGATTAAGTGATTTGGCTGAGGGACAAAAATGGCAGATCTGGGATTAGAATCTACTTGTGCTGTCTAATGTAGTCTCCACTGGCCACATGTGATTATTGCCTTTTGAAATGGAGCAGCTCTGAAGTAAGCTGTAAGTGGAAAATACACATCAGAATTTGAAGACTTAGTGTGAATAAATAATGTAAAATATTTCACTAGTAGTTTTATATTAAGTGTTGAAATGATAATGTGGACATTTTAGGTTCCATAAATTCTTCAAATTAATTTCACCCCTTTTGTTTTTAACGTTGCTACTAAAATGTGTAAAATTACATTTCTATCTTGAAATATATTTCTTGTTTTGTTTTGTCTTGGCCAAGCTGCGTCATGCTGACCAAGGATCAAACCCATGCCCCCTGCAGTGGAATAGTGCAGTCCTAACCACTGGACCACCAGGGAATTCCCAGTTTCTTGAATTATATTTCTATAGGACAGCACTGGTCTATACTACAAATTATTTTCCTGACATTGGTCTTCTCAGAGCAGGGGTATGGGGAGGAGGGGGCAGGTTCTGGAGTGTTTATAATTTCTGACACTCTCCACCAGCTCCTTGCAGAACCTTGGGCAAGGCATACCACCCTCCAAGCCTCAGTTTTCACATCTGTGAAATGTATATTATATCAGTATCTACATCATCATCATACAGTTTTGGGGAAAATGAAGTAAGAAACCTGAAGCACTTAGCACTGGGCTGGGCACAGGGGAGAACGTCCATACAGGTTACCTGCAACCTTGAATATATTATTCAATAATATACTATTATTGAGTCCTTCTCTCCTCTATAAATAGGGTTGGTCCCTACCCAGACTCCCTTTGAAAATTTAAAAGTAGTTGACATCAGGGACTTCGCTGGTGGTGCAGTGGTTAGGACTCCGTGCTCCCAATGCAGGGGGCCTGGGTTCGATCCCTGGCCAAGGAACTAGATTCCACATGCATGCCGCAACTAAGGAGCCCTGGAGCCACAACTAAGGAGCCCATGTGCTGCAACCAAGGAGCTGGAGAGCTGCAACTTAAGACCCAGTGCAACCAAATAAATAAATAAATAGTTTTTAAAATAATAATAGAAAAAATAAAAGTAGTTGACATCAGCAGGATGACTGTGTCTGGAGTCCACCACCCACAGCCCTCCTGTGGGGTAAGAAAGAATCCCCAAGGGAGGACTGGTCTGAGGCCCAGAGAGGGGGAAGTCCAAGGTCACACAGCCCCTGCTGGTGGGGCTGGGTGAAGCTTAAAACAATGGTGTGAGTCTGTCTTTGATGGTATTAATTTGACCTCTCTAGTCAACCAGAAACCACCAGTCCAGCCAGTACTGGGTCCCTAACCCCCTCTTAAGTTCAAGTGACACGCTCAAGATGGCGGCACCCCAGCCCTGCAGCATAGTCTGCCACACTCAAGATGACGGTGCACGCCCCCCGGCGCCGGTTCCGGTTCCGGTTTCGGTTGTTCTGACCGCCGGCAGGCACACGCCGAGCGTCCTGCAAGCAGTCATGGCAGATGGTCCGGTGGCGGAGGTGTTGCTGCAGCGGCTGGAGGCGGCCGATGGCGGCCTGGACAGCGCTGAACTGGCGGCCGAGCTGGGCGTAGAGCATCAGACCGTGGTGGGCGCCGTGAAGAGCCTGCAGGCGCTGGGTGAGGTGAGCTGGGCCGGTGATGCCGGGCCTCCTCGCTTTTGCACCTGCGGTTCCCTTGCCAGGAGTGCTCTGCCTCCAGGCCAGATTATCTCAGGCCTGGTTAGGAGTAATTGTATGTGTCCCGCCCAGGGTGCGCAGGCGGGGAGTCAGGAACTAGTGAGGGCCCCGGCGTAGGGATGTTCCTCATGAAGTAAACGTCCATTGAGGCATGATCAGTGTTGAGGGGGTGGAGAGGAGAATGGTGGACCAGAAAGACGCAGTCGCCGCCTTCACGCAGGCTGCGGTATAATGGATATACTCAAGTGACCGGAGTGATGGAGGAAGCACGGGGAACTCAGAAGTGTTAGCAGACCCAGCCTTGAGGATCAGGGAGAGCATCCCAAAGGAGATGACACCTGAGTCGGGTTTCTGCATTGAGTAGAAAAGCCATGGCACTTTAAGGATCAGTGGGGTAGGGAGGTGGCACAAGTGGTGAGAGAGACCCAGCAGAGCCAGATTTTGCGAGGCCTTGTAGGTCTTTATCTCACAGGGGTACTGGGGGGCCATGGCAGGAGCTAGAGCCAATGAGATGTGCGTACTGCCTACATCACTCTAGGGAAGGATCGGTGCAGGCAGGACTTGAGGCAAGGGGACAATGGCAGAGGCTGGCACATCCCCAAACTACAGGGTATGGTCCCTGGCTGTAGGGAGGCAGCTGGAATGGAGAAGGGATTCAGGTGAAGGAATGAAATAAGGTTCATGGAAATGTAGGGGTAGCTCGGATGAAGCCCAGCCTTCTGACTTGGACAAGGGAAGGGTGATGGAGCCAGGGGGGAGGATGTTGACCGACCCGTGGGTCACCCAGCAGGCTGGATCCATGAGGCTAGGACTCAAAAAACATAGCTGAAAACATCAAACTTACATGATGTGCCCTGCTCTGGCCTCAGATTTATTCCTCATCCAATCTTTGATGTGACCTTCAGTTGATGGCACTGTTATTATCCCCATATTGCAGATGTGACAACTTCTAAGCACTGGTCAGAATCTTGATCAGTGTCACTAGAAGGAACAGGCAAACCTGGATTTGAAGCCTGAGGTTGTCAGTGCAGAAAGGGATTGAAGCTATGGTGTATGGGATGACAGTACCTTGACTGATGTGAAAGTGACATTTGTGTAGGCTACTGAGGGTTAAGTGGTGGCAGTTTAATGTGGTTCATTGTAAGGATGATGACGATGATATTAACATAGTAGTTATATTTATGCAGCATTTGCTGCATACTAAGCGCTCTGCATCCTTTCTGTGTATTAATTCAGTCAACACAACTCTCTGAGGTAGAGCCCACCACACCCTTCTCTCATGGATAAGAAAATTTGCTCAGGGATATTAAGCAACTTTCCCAAGGTCACACAGCAAGAGAGGAGCAGAGCTAGGAATTAGAACGAAAGGGGAGCCTAGGGTTCCTGTGTGTAATGTGGGCAGCCTGGGTTCTTCTCTGACATCTGGCTACACTGAGATGCATGTAAGTGTGGAAATAAATCATTTCACCCGAGACTTTAAAAAAATCTTTCCCAGGTTCAAAAATGATAGGATTTGTTCTTTGCTAGGCAGGTAATACCCTCAGTACTTTACCTCACCCTGGGAGGTGTGAATCATTTTTGTCATTTTTCCCGTGTCACAAAAGATCTACTGAGGCTCAACAAGGCGAGATCACTCCTCTGGGAAGTGGTACAGCTGAGGGGCAAAGCTGGCATCACAGGCTGTTCTTTGACCCGCGTCCCCAGTGCTGCGGCAAGGGGGTGCCTGGATCTGAACCCTGTCCCTGCCTGTGTCCCCCTGTTTTCCTACAGATAATCGAGGCTGAGCTGCGTTCCACCAAGCGCTGGGAGCTTACCGCTGAGGGCGAGGAGATTGCCCGGGAAGGCAGCCATGAGGCCCGGGTGTTTCGCAGCGTCCCCGCAGAGGGCCTGCCCCAGAGCGAGCTCATGGTAGGAGTCTGAGTGGGCAGGGCCTAGGGAGGTGTTGGGATGAGGGCGACCCTTGTGTCCCCCTCACTGCAGCCTTGCTCCCACAGCGACTGCCCAGTGGCAAGGTGGGCTTCAGCAAGGCCATGTCCAACAAGTGGATCCGAGTGGACAAGAGTGCTGCCGACGGGCCCCGGGTGTTCAGAGTGGTGAGTCCCTGCCGGGTGGTGGTTGGACAGGTAGTCGGACAGGTGGGCCCCCTGCCCTCATGGTCCCTCACGCCCATCACTGTGGCAGGTGGATAGCGTGGAGGATGAGGTGCAGCGGCGGCTCCAGCTGGTCCAGGGTGGACAGGCCGAAAAGCTGGGAGAGAAGGAGAGGAGCGAGCTCAGGAAGAGGAAGCTGCTGACTGAAGTGTGAGTGGGTGCCGCCCCCCCAGGCTCACACCTGTGTCACCTGCATGGCCCTGGAGCAGAAGGGGAGCCATTCTGCCCACACTGGGCCAGGGTGCTATCAGTCTCCTCCCAGCCTCCCTTCACACTGTGGTTGTCGAGCACACACGCCAGGCTCATGCCACGTCAGGGCCTTTGCCTCTGCTGTGCCTTCTGCTGAGAAAGAGCTTCCTGCTCTTCAAAGCAAGTTCTGACATCAAACCTCTGCTCATGTGTCACCTTAGAGGGGCCACCCTGACACCCTTTCCTCCCTTCAAATTCCATAAAAGTTCCTCACTCCTGGCCTCCATCCCTTGTGCCCTGTTGACTTCCTTTACAGTCCTCAGCACCGTCTGAAAGTTTATGACTGCTGGGACCTGGACAGGCTGGGGGCTCTGCCCTCACAGAGCTGACGACTCCTTTGAGCAGATGTAGCAGTGGCCTAGCAGTTATAAGAACGCAAACTGGGAATTCCCTGGTGGTCCACTGGTTAGGACTCTGAGCTTCCACCGCAGGAGGCCTGGGTTCAATCCCTGGTTGGGGAACTAATATCCCATGTGCTGCATGGTGTGGCCAAAAGGAAAAAAAAAAGACTGGAGCGGGGCTGCCTGATTCAAGTCCCAGCTGTGCCATATGCTAGCTGTGTGACCTTGAGCAAGTCACCTGATCTGTCCAAGCTTCTGTTTATGCATGTGTAAAATGGTTCCTTTTCACACAGGATTATGGGGTGACTTTATGGAGCAGAGCCTAGTGTGGAGTAAACTCTCTAAACTTGACCTATTATCACTCCCAGCTATATGCTTAGTGCCTTCAACAGACCCTGGTACACATTAGGTTCTCAGTAAATGTTTGTTGAATGAGTAACTGCATGAACATAGGGATGTAGGTTGGGGCCAGCTAAGAGGATTCTGGAGATGGTAAGTGTCAGGAGGAAAATACAACAGAATGACTTGGTGGATGACTTTGGGGTCAGCATCAGATGGGAGGTCAAGGGAAACCACTTGGAGGAGGTAACAGCGTTGTCCTGTGGCCTCAGGAACCTGAAGACCTACTGGGTGAGCAAAGGCAGTGCCTTTAGCACCAGCATCTCCAAGCAGGAAACAGAGCTGAGCGCAGAGATGATCTCCAGGTAGGGGCTAGCCCTAGAGTTGGGGGCCGATGGGGGTGTGGTAGGCAGCCCCCACCAGACCCATGTACCCTGCATCCCCCCATAGTGGCTCCTGGCGGGATCGGCCCTTCAAGCCCTACAATTTCTCGGCCCATGGCGTCCTCCCTGACAGCGGCCACCTGCACCCCCTGCTGAAGGTCCGCACCCAGTTCCGGCAGATCTTCCTGGAGATGGGGTAAGCATGGGGCTGGGGGTGGGGCTAGCCCACCTGCTTGGCACAGGCAGGGCAGTCAGGCTGTGTCTCCCACCAGGTTCACTGAGATGCCGACCGACAATTACATCGAGAGCTCCTTCTGGAACTTTGACGCGCTCTTCCAGCCCCAGCAGCACCCAGCACGGGACCAGCACGACACCTTCTTCCTGCGAGGTGGGTGGGCCCCGCCACGCCATCAGAGGTGCCAGGACTGGACAGAGCCTTTCGGGGTGGCGTACCATTTTACAGGATAAACTCCATCCTCCTCAGTGTGGCCGACAAACCTGTGTGAGCTGCTGTCGTCAACTTCTGTTATCTTCTTCCACCTCCCCTCCTGCCCACCTCAGGGCCTTTGCCCATGCTGTGGCTTCTGCCAAGAACTGTCTTCTCCCAGGTCTTCATGGCAGGCTCTGGCATGAAGCCTCTGCTCAGATATCACCTCAGAGAGGCCACCCTGACATGCCCTTGTCTCCCCAAGTTCTAAAAGCTCCTCACTGCTAGTCTTCAACATTGCTTCCCAGTTCTTTCTTTCTTCCACAGTCCTTAGTACTCTCTGAAATTGAGTGACTTTCCAAAATGGTTGTTGTTTCCCCCATCAACAGGGCGGATGAGGCTGTTGGGTGCCTGTTACCTGGCCAGGAGCAACAGCGCCATTGTCATCATTTCAGCATCCAAAACTTGCTGAGCCGTGGGACTTCCCTGGTGGTCCAGTGGTTAGGGCTCTCCGCTTCCACTGCAGGGGGCGCAGGTTTGATCCCTTGTCAGGGAAGTTCCACATGCCATGTAGTGTGGCCAAAAAAAAGAAAAAATATATATATAAAACTTACTGAGCTGTCACTGTCCTAATCTTTCCACCAACTATAGAAAGTAGACTGTTAGCCCTGTTTTGCAAATGAGGAAATTAGGTCTCAGAGAGGGGACATCACTTGCCCAGGGTCACAGCTTATAGGCGGTGGAGCTGGGATTTGATGTCAGGCTTTGCAGGTGCGCTAAAATTGTGTCTCTGGAAGGGAGTCATAAGAACTTGCCACATTCATGCAGCATAGAGTCTGCACCTATGACTGAGCTCCTGTGTGCCAAAGTCTCTGTGAAACACCTGGGTCACAGCCATGAATGAGACAGAAATCCTTGCCCTGATGAGACCCGCATATCCTGGTTGGGTGAGATATGCATTTAATTCTGAGTACGCTGTAAACATGGCAATGAAAGATGGCAGTAAATGCGATGGGGGAATTGACGTTATGTTGGTGGGGGAGCATGCTGTCAATTTAAAATAAAGGCTGGGGGCTTCCCTGGTGGCGCAGTGGTTAAGAATCCGCCTGCCAATGCAGGGGACACGGGTTCGAGCCCTAGTCCAGGAAGATCCCGCACGCCGCGGAGCTACTAAGCCCGTGCGCCACAACTACTAAGCCTGCACTCTAGAGCCCGCGAGCCACAACTACTGAAGCCCACGTGCCCAGAGCCCATGCTCCGCAACAAGGGAAGCCACCGCAATGAGAAGCCTGCACACTGCAACGAAGAGTAGCCCCTGCTCACTGCAACTAGAGAAAGCCTGCGCACAGCAATAAGACCCAATGCAGCCCAAAATAAATAAAATAAATAAATTTATTTTAAAATAAATTAATTAATTAAATAAAGGCTGCTTGGGACTTCCCTGGTGGCGCAGTGGTTAAGATTCCGCCTGCCAACGCAGGGGACACGGGTTCAATGCCTGGACTGGGAAGATCCCACATGCCGCTGAGCAACTAAGCCCGTGCGCCACAACTACTGAGCCTGCACTCTAGAGCCTGCAAGCCACAACTACTGAGCCTGCATGCCACAACTACTGAAGCCCGTGCATCTAGAGCCCGTGCTCCGCAACAAGAGAAGCCACCGCAATGAGAAGCCCACGCACCGCAACAAAGAGTAGCCCCCGCTCGCCGCAGCTAGAGAAAGCCCACGCACAGCAATGAAGATGCAACTCAGCCAAAAATAAATTAATTAAAAAAAAAAGCCTCCGTGCTCCCAATGCAGCGGGCCTGGGTTCAGTCCCTGGTGAGGGAACTGGATCCCACATGCGTGCCGCAACTAAGAGTTCGCATGCTGCAACTAAGGAGCTGGCGAGCCACAACTAAGGAGCACACCTGCCGCAACTAAGGAGCATGCCTGCTGCAACCAAGACCCGATGCAACCAAATAAGATAAATAAAATATTTTTTTAAATAATAAAATAAAATGAAGGCTGCTTAAGCAAAGATGGAAGGAGGTCAGGGAGGGAGCTATGCCTGGGGAAGGAAAATTCCAGGCAAAGGGAATGGCCAGTGCAAAGGCCCTGAGGCTGGCACATGCCTGGTGTGTTCACAGATTAGCAGGGAAGCCCTGTGGCTGGAGGAACTGATCAGTTAGGAGTGGGAGGAGAGAATTCTCCGGCAGTCCAGTGGTTAGGACTCTGTGCTTTCACTGCCTAGGGCGCAGGTTCAATCCCTGGTTGGCGAACTAAGTCCTCCAAGCTGTGCAGCATGGCCAAAAAAAAAGAGGAAATGGGACCATGGAAGGTTCTGGGCAGAGGAGAGTTGTGACTGACTCAGGTGTTCCCAGGTACCCTCTGGCAGCTGTGGAGGGTTGGGGAGGGAGCTGCCTGTGTCACTATCTGTTTTCAGTGCAGTGGCTATTTGAGAAATGCTCCTTGACTGACCAGATGTTGATCTGTCCTGCCCAGATCCAGCCCAGGCCCAGCAGCTCCCAATGGACTACGTCCATCGCGTCAAGCGGACCCACTCTCAAGGCGGCTACGGCTCACAGGGGTAAGGCAGGACCCAGGACTTTGGGTCCTGGGCAGGACACCCAGGGGTGTTGGGGGAAAGAGGTTGGGGGCCGTGAGCTGCATCATGGACTTCCTTTATGTCCCTCTGAAGGTACAAGTACAACTGGAAACTGGATGAGGCTCGGAAAAACCTACTGCGCACCCATACCACGTCGGCCAGCGCCCGCGCCCTCTACCGCCTGGCCCAGAAGGTGTGGCGGGGCTTGGGCAGCGTCGGAGGGGCCAGGGCTGACATCCTGGCCTTCTCACCCATGCCCGGGCTTGGCCTGCCTCTCATCTCCAGAAGCCCTTCACAGCGGCCAAATACTTCTCCATTGATCGTGTGTTCCGGAATGAGACCCTAGATGCCACGCACCTGGCCGAGTTCCACCAGATCGAGGGCGTCGTGGCTGACCACGGTCTCACGCTAGGCCACCTCATGGGCGTCCTGCGGGAGTTCTTCACCAAGCTCGGTGAGCAGGTGGGCTGGGGTGGGCAAGCAGGAGGATGCCTTGGTCGTCAGCCTGACCCTCCCCCTTTGCCCCACCCCCACCCCCACTCTGTTTGGCTGCCTCCCCACCCAGGTATCACCCAGCTGCGTTTCAAGCCGACCTACAACCCTTACACCGAGCCCAGCATGGAAGTGTTCAGCTACCACCAAGGTCAGGGTGGAACCCAGTAGTGGGACAGGGAGGGAGGTCTCAGGCTGCCCACGGCTCAGCCCAGGTCCCCGTCACTGCCAAGCCCACACCCCACCTCCCAAGCTAACTGCCAGGCCCCGTATCACCCACACAAGCCCCCGCATCATTCTCCTGCCTTCACAGGCCTGAAGAAGTGGGTGGAGGTTGGAAACTCCGGGATCTTCCGCCCCGAGATGCTGCTGCCCATGGGGCTCCCTGAGAATGTGTCAGTCATTGCCTGGGGCCTCTCCCTTGAGCGGTGAGTACCCAAACCACTTAGGGTATTGGCTGCCTTACTCAAGTGGCTTGCCAGGCGTGGGGGCCTGCAGACTTTCAGCCCCATTCATTCTTTCATTCATTTGAGAAACCCTTAGTGAGCACCTGCTGTGTACTGAGTCCTGTGCTGTGGTTATGACATACACATCTCTACTTCCATGAAGCCAGGGGTGCTAGTGGAACACAGAGGATGATAATTAGTGAGATAAATAACACAACAAGTAAAGCTTAAAGTATGTCCAAAAGCAGTGTTATAGAGAAAACACAGCAGGGAGGGCTAAGGAGGTGTCAGGGAAGGCCTCTCAGAGGAGGTGGCATCTGAGCAAAGACTGAAGGGTGAATTGGTAAGCTGTGAGGATATCTGGGGAATGGCGTTCCAGGCAGAGGGAATAGCCAGTGCAAAGGCCCTGAGGCTGGAGCGGGCCTGCTGTGTTTGGAGAACACTAAGGAGGCCAGGGTGGTTGGGGGGAATGAGTGAGTGAAGGTGGAGAGTGGGAGGAGATGAGGGTGGGGAGATGACAGGACAGATTGAGCAGGGCCTTTTGAGCCCCAGGGAGGACTTGGGCTTTTACTCAAGGAAGGTGATAGGAGAGGTTCTGATCAGAAGAGAGCATGACCTGACCTCGTGTTAAACCATGTCATGTCTCCCCTCCCAAGCCCGACAATGATCAAATACGGCATCAACAATATCCGGGAGCTGGTGGGCCACAAGGTGAACCTGCAGATGGTGTACGACAGTCCCCTGTGCCGCCTAGATGCCGAACGGGGGCCCCCGTCGACACAGGAGGCCGCATGACACGAACCGCCCTGGATAGGCCGCCTTCCCCAAGACCCTGCTGCCCTTTGCATCCCTGCCAGTGACCCCCTTGTCCTTATGAGGCCTCTGTGAGGCCAGTCCCCCTGCCCCTGGTATCTCCTCTTCCCCACTGGCCCCAGGGTCCCAGGGACAGGGGAGTGGGTAGCAGGTTCATTCTGTTGTCCACCTGTGAGGGTGGGCCTTGGGGAGCCCTGCAGACCAGCTGCTGGCTAATAAAGTGGGCACTTGCCCTTATCTGGTGCCTTTCCGTAGGGGTGGAGGGGTGCTGGAGCCCCGGGTGTGAGGTGTGGTGGATTGGAGGTCTTGGATCTTCAGGAACCCCTGGCCAGCCTGAGCCAGATCCCACCAGGGAAGACTAGCTCCATCAGGCATTTACTGATTTGCCTCCTGGTGCCAGGTCTCTTCTAGGTGAAGGGAACAGAACCCCCTACCCCTGTGGAAGGGGCATTTGGGAAGGGGAGGCCAAGGCGGGCGTCGGGGCCCCAGGAGCCAGCATTCCCACCAACTGGGAGCCAGCATTGGTGGGGTGGGGCGTATAGCAAGCTAAGCCTTTAAAGCTGCCCTTTTTGTTTTTTTAAGAGCAGTTTTAGGTTCATAGCAAAATTGAGTGGAAGGTAAAGGGATTTCCTATAAACCCCCTGCCTTGACACATCATAATGACCCAAAGTCCATAGTTTACATTACAGTTGATTCCCTGTGTTGTATGTAGGTTTGGACAAATGTATGATGACGTGTATTCATTCATTATTATGGTATCATAGAGAGTATTTTCACTGCTCTGAAAGTCCTCTGTGCTCCACACATTCATCCCTTTCTCCTCCCCCTAAAATACTACTCTTAAAAAAAAAAAAAACTCTCAAGGATTTCAAATGAGCCCAGAATAGAGATGAATGAGTAGGATAAAGCTCCATGAGCCCACCACTCACACTGAACAGTGAGCAGCATCTCACACCTGTTTCTATGGGAATATTTCAAAGCCAATCCCAGTCACCACGTCGCTCAGCCCAGATCTTCAGGGGCAGCACGCTTTTGGAAACATAGACAATTTTTTATGTAACCATGAGGCCACTTTTATACCCAGGGCAGTTGGCAGGCAGCTGAGACCATGGGTTTTGCTGGTCCAGGGCCTGGGGGCACCAATCTTCCAAGGGCTCCTCACTCGAATGTTTTGTTTATTTATTTCAAATTAAATAATCCAGGAATACAGAAAAATATAGCATAATACAGTAAACACCCAAGAATCCACCCCTAGTTCATTCGAATCTGAACATAGATTATATTTGCTTTGGATGTTTCACTTTTTAGATCTGTGTGACTAATGGTTTGGAGACCCTATGAGCTTGTCCTAGTTTCTTTTGCCCCCGGCCCACTAAGGTTGCCGCCTCCTGAATTTGGTATTTATTATTCTCATGTGCTTTTAAACTGTTGCTACTTACGTGTGTCACTTTAACAAGACACAGTTTCAATTTGCATGTTTTCAAATGTTACACAGACTGCACCATAAAAATCATCCTGCATCTTCTGTGTTGCTTTTGTTTTGGTTTGGTGCCAGTGTGTTTGTGTACGCATGCTTAAAAGTAAGTTTGAGGGGCTTCCCTGGTGGTGCAGTGGTTGAGAGTCCGCCTGCCGATGCAGGGGACACGAGTTCATGCCCCGGTCCGGGAAGATCCCACATGCCGCGGAGCGGCTCGGCCTGTGAGCCGTGGCCGCTGAGCCTGCGCGTCCGGAGCCTGTGCTCCGCAATGGGAAAGGCCACAGCAGTGAGAGGCCTGCGTACCAAAAAAAAAAAAAGGTAAGTGAGATTTTTCCCAGTAGATAATCCTCAAATCTTCAAATCTGACACTGCAGGAAGATGCATCTCGTGTAACTTGTAGCTTTGCCACAAGATACTGTTAGCCACTGTTTATTAAACTCTTAATGTGTTCCAAATGTTTATCCCTGAAACCCTTATAATAGTCTCATGTTTTAGATTTTATCACCTTGCTATTAGACAAAGATGGGTTTTGAGAGTGAGTGGCAGTTTAATGATCACCCCCATTGGTAAGAACCCAGATTGAAACCCAGTTCTCCAGAACGTAGGTGTAAATGTGTGTGCTCTAGTGTGTGGCCAGGGACAGAGCCCTGCACAGAAGGGCTGAGTGATGTGAGCAGATTCCCACTGTCTCCCTTTCGTGAACAATGTGACAGGTGTCCCAAAGAGGAGCTCCATTTCCTTCCCAGTCAGTTGGGACAAAGTCCCAACCCTTCATCCTTCACCCACTGTTTCCCCCAAGCCCTGCTCGCCCCACCAGGCCTGGCTACTCCTCAAAGGCACTGAGCTTGCTCAGACCTCAGGGCCTTTGCCCAACCGTTTCAAATCCTTTGCCCATTTTTTTTTTTTTGCGGTACGCGGGCCTCTCATTGTTGTGGCCTCTCCCGTTGCGGAGCAACAGGCTCCGGACGCGCAGGCTCAGCGGCCATGGCTCACGGGCCCAGCTGCTCCGCGGCATGTGGGATCTTCCCGGACCGGGGCACGAACCCGTGTCCCCTGCATCGGCAGGCGGACTCTCAACCACTGCGCCACCACGGAAGTCCCCTTTGCCCATTTTTTAACTGGGGTTTTTCTGTCTCACAGAGTTGCAAAGGGTCTTTGTAGATACTGGATACAAGTTAAATATTTTCTCCCAGTCTGTGGCTCCTTGTGTGCCAATTACTATTATGGTTGTCACTGTTAATTCATTATTGTTATTACTACTCTTATTATTAAGGGGTGTGGGCCCAACTCTTAAGGGCCAGGCCCCCATGCTTTCAAGGAGCTTCTGGTTTTGGAGTGCAGGTAACTGATTCAAGGTGGTAACTGCCTAAACTTTTTCACTGAGGGCAATAGGTCGTAATCAAGGGACAGCAAAGGTCAGAATTTTTTATTGGAAAGACCTCCGGGCAGAGCAGATGAACGGAAACGAAAGGAAGGAACGCAGTGTTCTCACCATTCCCCTACTGACCTTGGGCCCTGGAACCTCACACGTGCGCACACGCGCACTCAGAGACCACAGGCTCCTCCCGGCGGTGCCGGCTGCGCGCGCAGCCCCTAGACAGCCCAACGGCCACTTAACGGCCGCCCCCGCCCCGCTGCGCGCACAAGTTCCCAGAAAGAGGCGGGGCCAGGAGTGCGCACCGCGGCCTATCTTGGGGGCGGGGCATTCCGGGGGCGGGGGAGGCGCGTGCGCAGAGGGCGCGAACAAGAAGGCGGGAAAAGACGGAATGGAGCGGCAGGGAGGACGCTGCGCTTGTTTCCTTCGCGCGGGCGGCGGGCGGACGGGCAGGGAATGGCAGCGATCTTGGGCTTCCCCGACGAACCCGAGCCCTGCCGTTTGTCTCCTGCCATCGCGGCCCCTCTTCGCCCGACTGGGCTCCGATTTCCTGACCTACCTACCGGGCCCGGACTAACCGACTGATTGTGTGACTGACGCACTGACAGCCCAGGCAGGACCGACTTCCACGCATGGCGAGTGGCAGGAGTAGGGTAGAGAGAGACTCAGACATCCACGCGCCTCACCCGTTTTTCTTCTTCTTTTTCTCCTACCTCTTTTCCCTCCTTGAAGGCCTTGAGCCGACTCGCACACCAGTTAGCCCAGGCCCCCCAGCACCCCATCCGGAGCACCTGTCCTCACCCCGGCCACTCCAGGTCTCCCCACCTCAGTCCTCCTGTGCTCCAGGCACGGGATCCCCGCGGTCCTCGTGGTGCCCGTCCCAGCACCCCCCGTCTCTTCTGTGGGTCCCCAACATGCCGCATCGGCAGACAGAGGTGCCCAGGGTTGACGGGGCGGGAGGAGGGGGATCTGACTACCTCTCGCCCTCCTTCGACCTCTCAAGCGCTGGCCGTGCTCACAGGTGGACATGCCGCAGGTAGAGTGCAAGGACCAGGAGCCACAGCTGTTGGAGGAGAGCCAGGAGCGGCAGCAAGGCGAGGAGAGCCGCGAAGAGGAGGCTGGTCGAGGGCCAGCTAGGTGAGGAAGAGCCCGGCCCATCGAGTCCAAACAGACCCCTGAGTCCCTCTCATTCACCCTTTTCTTCCACAAGACCCTACCAGTGTCTGCTCTTGTCGCACTGGTTGCACATACTCGTCCAGCATCTCCCATGTACCTGGGATGGAAGTGCTGGGGACACAGCAGTGAGGTGACATTCTAGGAGAACGTCTGTAAACTCGGGAATATGCAGTAGTCAGGGGATGCTAAGCGCTCTGAGGAAAAAAATAGGGAGAGAGTGACAGGTGACCAGTTTATTTATTTATTTATTTTTAAGTTGGTAAAATACATTTTGTTTATTCTGATGCAAAGCCAGTCTAAATCAGCTAAGTCTAAATGATAAAATAAGCTTTTAACAACTAGGAAACAACTTTTATATATATGCATTAGCCAATCTAAATTAATCCAGCCAAGTATTGCTTTGAAGAGGCCCTTAGATACCTGGAGTTAATTTGAAAATGAAGAAAAAATTGCTTAAGAACATCATATAGCAGTTCCTGTTCAAGACAGCTGTGTACTGGGTTGGCCAAAAAGTTTGTTCGAGTGTTCCATAAAATGGTCAGAAAAACCCGAACGAACTTTTTGGCCAACCCAGTATGATGCCTGTGAACTCCCCTCCTCCCAAGAGTCTACAGCTACGTATGGAACAATTTCCTCTTATAAAAACCTAAAGACTGGGCTTCTCTGGTGGCGCAGTGGTTGAGAGTCCGCCTGCCGATGCAGGGAACACGGGTTCGTGCCCCGGTCCGGGAAGATCCCACATGCCGCCGAGCGGCTGGGCCCGTGAGCCATGGCCGCTGAGCCTGCGCGTCCGGAGCCTGTGCTCCGCAACGGGAGAGGCCACAACAGTGAGAGGCCCGCGTACCCCTAAGAGTCTATAGCTACACATGGAACAACTTCCTCTTATAAAAACAAAGGCTGGCAGTAATAACTACACATTAGGCAAATGAGAAGAAAATCACATCAAAGTGGGTAGGAAAGGCTAGGAAACAATCTCACCATATACCCTACCCCCAGTGCGGTGTCCCACAAGCAGGAGGGAACTCAAACCCTGGAGCTTCTCCCTGAGGACTGAAGGGCTCAAACCCACTCCTCAGGCATTTCAACTTTTTTTGAAGAGGTGAATTGTTGCACCTGAGACCATAGGCCTGCAAAGCAGAAGACTTCCTATCTGGCCCTTTATAGAAGTTTGTAGTCCTCTGGACTAAAAGGCTCCCTCTAGATGCTGTGTAGAGAATAGATTATTGAGGGCGGGATTGGAAGCAGGGAGGCCAGTGATGAGGCAATTGGAATAATTTATGTGCAAGATGACCCTAACTTGACCCAGGGTGGATCCATGTAGGTGATGAGAAGTGGTCAGATTCTGGATAGGTCTAAGAAGATAGAACTAACATAAACTGCTAGGGGATTCGATGTTGGAGTGAGAGGAAGAGTAGTGTCATGGATGACTTTAAAAAGACATTGTTGTCTTGCACATTTATTCACCAGGTATTTATCAAGGGTCTTCTTTACCCAAACACTGTTTTAGATGCTGGGGATACAATAGTGAACAAATCAGAATTCCTGCTCTCTTGGAGCTGACTTTCTTTCACTTAGTAATACACACTTAGTAATTTACACAATGTACCCCAGTTTATTTATCTACTCGCCTATTGAAGGACATCTTGGTTGCTTCCAAGTTTTAGAATTATGAATAAAGTTGCTATAAACATTCATATGCAGGTTTTGTGTGGATGTAAATTTTCAGCTCCTTTGGGTAAATACCAAGGAGCACAATTGTTAGATCATATAGTAAGAGTATATTTAGTTTTGTAAGAAACTACCAAAATGTCTTCCGAAGTGGCTGAACCATTTTACATCCCTGTCTTCAGTGAATGAGAGCTCCTGTTTCTCCACATCCTCACCAGCATTTTGTGTTGTCAGTGTCTTGGATTTTCCCCATTCTAACAGGCAGTAGTGGTATCATTGTGTTGATTTGCAACTTCTTTACGAAGTATGAAGTTGAACATCTTTTCATATGCTTGTTTGACATCTGTATATCTTTTTTGGTGAGGTATCTGTTCAGATCTTTTGCTTATTTTTAAATTGGATTTTTTATTTTCTTATTGCTGAATTTCAAGAGTTTTTTATATATTTTGGGTGTCAGTCCTTTATCTGATTTGTGTTTTGTAAAGATTTGCCCCCAATCTGCGACCTGTCTTTTCATTCTCTTAATGGTGTCTTTTGCAGAGTAGAAGTTTTAAATTTTAATAAAGTCCAACTAGCCAATTTTTTCTTTTGATATTGTATCTAAGAAGTCACCACCAAACCCAAAGCCATCTAGATTTTCTCCTACGATATCTTCTAGGAGTCTTATAGTTTTGTGTTTTAATTTAGGGATATCTATTTTGAGAAAAATTTTGTGAAACGTGCACGATCTGTGTCTAACTTCACTTTTTTTGTATGTGGATGTCCAGTTGTTCCAACACCATTTGTTGAAAAGACTCTCCTTTCTCCACTGAATTTTCTTTGTTCCTTTGTCAAAGATAAGTTGACTATATATGTGTGGGTCTATTTCTGGGCTCTCTATTCTGTTCCATTGACCTATTTTCTATTCTTTCACTGGTACCACACTATCTGGATCGCTGCAGCTTCGTAGTAAGTCTTGAAAACAAGTATCATCAGTCTTCCAACTTCATTCTTCTTTAATATTGTGTTGGCTATCCTGGGTCTATTGCCAAGCTGCCTTTCTAAAAGGTAGATAATTTTTTAAAAAATGTGATTTCACTTGGTGGCAAGTGCTGTGAAGAAACAAAACAGAGAAGGAGCAACTAGAGTGACAGGGAGTTTAGAGTAGCTGGAGATCTCTAAGGAGGTCACATGAGGAGGAGCCAGCCAGGAGGCGCCCAGGACTCCAAACATTCCAGGCAGACGGAGCTGCAAGTACCAAGTCCCTGAGGCAGGAGCAGGCCTGGTGTGTTCACAAAACAGTGGGAAGGCCAGCATGTCAGGCATTGTGATTGGCAGCAGTGACACCCGGGGTACACTGACAGACATGCTCATACACTCCCAGTGCTTCCATCTGACAGGAAAGGCATATACTGAACAAGTACTGACACGGAGGAGCTCAGGTAGCTAGGAAAATGTTTCCTCGTGGGCAGGGGAGTGAGTGCCAGAGTGGGGGGCTCAGCACAGGCTAGGTCGCAGGGCATTTTGTCGGCTGTGGACTTGATCCTAAGGATTGTTTTTTTTTTGGTAACAGCTTTATTGAGATATAATTCATATACCATACACTTCGCTTACTTAAAATGTACAATTCAATTGTTTTTAGTACATTCACAGAGCTCTGCAACCATTACCACAGTCAACTTTTTAACATTTTCATCGCCCTGAAATAATCCTTTGACCCCTTAGCCATCACCTCCCAGTCCCTGCGTCCTTCCCAGTCCCTGGCAACCAAAACTCTACTTTCTGTCTCTACAGATTTGCCTCTGCTGGATATTTCATATAAGTAGAATCATACAATTATGTGGTCCTTTGCGACTGGCTTCTTTCGCTGAGCATAATGTGTTCAGGGTTCATTCATGTTGTTGTAACATGTATCAGAACTTCATTCCTCTGTGTGGCTGAATAATATTCTATATTATGGTTGTACCACGTTTTATTTATCCATTCGTCAGCTGATGGAAATTTGGGTTGTTTCTGCCCTTTGGCTCTTGTGAGTAATGCTGCTATGAACACCCGTGTACAAGTTTTCATTTCTCTTGGGTAGATACCTAGGTGGGGAATGGCTGGGTCATAGAAGTAACATGCTCAGGCTCCTGTTATAAAAAGACACCGGCTGCTCTGTGAAGAATGGGTGGGAGGGGGCGTGAGTGGACCTGGGAGATAGGTGGGAGGCTTCTTCAGGGGTGGCATCTAGCAGGGCAGATGGAGAGAAGATGAGGGGGGTCATTTAGTGAGGCATGAGGAAGGTGATGAGCTGAGGATGTCTCCCAGCTGTGGTGTGCTGGAGCCAGCTCCTGCCCGCAAGAGCCAGGTCTACACATCACTTCCCAACCTGGCATTTAGCAACTTCGTGTTAGTAGCTTGAAACTGGCTATAGTGGGAGTCTCTGCACCATGGAAATTGGCAAACACTACAGATCAAGGCTTCCCCTGCCACTACTGCTCCCCGCTTTCTGGCTCGGGGCAGTTTCCAGCTGGCAGAAGCACAAGTTGTATTTTGCCCTTGTTGAGTCTGAGGTGACCAGAGAAATACACATGAATGCGTCCAAGTTAGGGGTTGGACTTTCTGACGCAGAATTCGGTGGGGTGGGGCGGCAGGGGCTGGAGAGGGTGCTGCTTCAGTGAAGGAGCTCACCTGGGGATAGAATGAGGCTCAGGACAGGGCGCCTGAGGACTGCACCACGCACGAAGCCAGCTTCCTCTTGCCTCCCAGATTCCTCAGTTGCAAACCAGACCGCAGGGTGGAATGGTTTCCAGGGGTGTGCAGTCAACTGGAGACCAGAAAAAAAAGAAGTAAATGACTGAAGTCGTTTGATAACAGCTTCCTGCAAATAGTATGTTTAGACTGGGATCTAAGTGGCGAGGAGACACAGACAATTGCGAATCATTGAGAGACTTCGAGGAGTTCCAAAAGAACTTTGGGCTGAGAAGCAGATGGATTAGGACCAGGACAAGGACCAGTTAACAGATCCAGCAGCAGACTCTCAGTGACATGATTAAAATGTGAGCACATTTCAGGCGAGAAGAGCAGAGGGTGAAAGGAATGGGCTCCGCAACTTCGATTCAAACCTTCCCCCTTCCTGGCTGTACTTCAGCAGAACATCGTTTTGCCCAAGCGCCACAGATTCTGTTGTGTTCCTCCTTGAATGTTTGATTAGCTTTCCTCCCCTCCTGGGACTGCCGCCTGCGGTGGTCATAAGTGGCTGGCGGATTGTTTACTTGTATATCTGTTAGAGGCCACGGAGGGAGGGCCCCGCCAGCGGGTGGCTCTGGCTCACACGCCTGCCAATCACAGCTTTACCTGGAGCGAACAGATGGTCTCTTCGCTTAAACCCATTTCCTCCGCAGTTCCCGGGCCCCCTGCCAGCTTGAGCTCTTCTCGGGAACTAGATCCTAATCCTCAAAGCCGAAGAATTAGGTACTCCTTAGAAGGACAGACCGTCATAGATGAGCGGAGGGATGTGTTCACAGCCCCCATCCCGACCCCCCCACTGCCCTACCCCGTGCACACGCGGCCTACTGTGTTGAGCTGACTTCCATTCCCTGGCCTCCATCCAGGGTTGGGCAACAGAGGCAGGCCTGGGAATGGGGGGAAGCCGGTGGAGGGGACATGGTGCATTTTGTTTATTAAAGTTAATTGGTGAATGCAGGCCCAGGGAAGCCTATGATTCATTAGCATCCTGATTAATATGCAGCTGCTGAGTATTAAGAAAAATGAAATGGAAAGGAATAAATCCCCAAAGGAGAGGTTGGGAAAAATCAAGAAGCTCTCTGCAGACATCTGATGCAGGCCTTTGTCCCATAACGAAATTTGAGTGAGCTGAATTCCATTGATTTTTCACCATTTGTGTAGCTGCCACGAAGATCAGTTCCAGCTTTATCCCTTGAGCTTGAAAAAGGAGCAACTCTGAACAGTTAGCAGCTCAAGCAGGTTGTGAGCAATTACACAAAAAGAAGCACCTGGTCCTATCATTGATTTTAATTTCAGAATCCTATACTGTTGGGACAACAAAGCAACTTTGGGTGCAAAGTGGCTTAAGAGCAAGAATGTTACATCTGGCTCTGGCTCCAGCAGCAGTTCATTCATTTAGGTATTCGGCAAATAGTTGTGATGCCTTTGGAATGAAGGCAATGCAGCCCCTGCCCAGAGTGTGCATGGTGCCTGGGGGGAATCTAGTGTACAAACTGGCAGTGTTGTGATTAGAAAGCAAAGGTGAGGTAAGGATGCTCCAAACGTTGCCTCGTGAGGTTGACAGAAAGGAAAAATCGTTTCAGGCAAAGGCTGATGAGTTTGGTGAAATTGTGGAAAGTTTCAAGTTGCTGGGAGTGGAGGCTGAAAAGAGAAGGTGGAGGCCAGGGCCCTGGAAAGCCTTGTGTGCTGTGCTAGGGAATTTACTTGCTCCTGCAGCTGGTGGGGCCTCTTGGAGGCTGTGGAGCAGAAGTGGGACATCAGATTGCGGTTATAAGGTCACTAGGGCCCAGGTGAGAATGATAGGCGTGGGGCTGTGAATGGTTGGGTGGGGAGGAGAGGATAGATTTGGGAGAAATTAAGGAGGTGGAAATGAAAGCATTTTGTGACAGGATTTGGAAGGACAGAGAGAAGCCAGGCTCCAGGCTGACTGCTAAGTTTCTGGCTTGGGAACCAGGTGGCTTTTGGTGTCATTCAATGAAATGAGGAGGGAGAACAACACTGGGCTGGTGTGCAGTTGTTTTTACTGTCGTTTTTTTTTGGCTGCGCTGCCCTGCATGTGGGATCTTAGTTCCTCGATCAGGGATCCCCTGCATTGGGAGTGTGGAGTCTTTTATTTATTTATTTATTTATTTATTTATTTATATTTATTTATTTATGGCTGCATTGCGCTTTCTCTAGTTGCGGCGAGCAGGGGCTACTCTTCGTTGCGGTGCATGGGCTTCTCACTGTGGTGGCTTCTCTTATTGCGGAGCACCGGCTCTAGGTGCATGAGCTTCAGTAGTTGTGGTGCATGAGCTTAGTTGCTCCGTGGCATGCGGGATCTTCCCAGACCAGGGCTCGAACCCGTGTCCCCTGCATTGGCAGGCGGATTCTTAACCACTGTGCCACCAGGGAAGTCCTGGAAGCATGGAGTCTTAACCACTGGACCACCAGGGAAGTCCCTGGTGTGCAAATTTAGAGGAGTTTGAAATGCCTCTGGGACAGCCAAGTGGAATGGGCCTGGGGAAAGTCAGATACCTTGTTTGGAGCTCAGAAGTTTGGGAGAGGGCTTCCCTGGTGATGCAGTGGTTAAGAATCCGCCTGCCAATGCAGGGGACACGGGTTCGAAGCCTGGTCCGGGAAGATCCCACATGCCGCAGAGCAATTAAGCCCGTGCACCACAACTACTGAGCCTGCGCTCTACAGCCCGCGAGCCACAACTACTGAAGCCGGCGAGCCAGAACTACTGAAGCCCATGCATCTAGAGCCTGTGCTCTGCAACAAGAGAAGCACCACAACGAGAAGCCCGCGCAATGCAACTAAGATTAGCCCCCGCTTGCCGCAATTAGAGAACGGCCACGTGCAGCAAAGAAGACCCAACACAGCCAAAAATAAAATAAATAAAATAAATTTATTTTAAAAAAAAAGAAGTTTGGGAGACATGAAAGCATGGATGGTAATGAAAGCCCTTGCTAGTCATTCATTCATTTATTTGATGCACTTTTATTATTCTTCCCATGAGAGGTAGGTACTGGGGACAGCAAAACGTTTTTTAACAAGAATGCCCAGGGAGACTTTAGTTGGTCTGTTGTTTTCTAGCTGCTATAAGGCTTTGCTGTAAAATGTCTGCCTTAATCAGAGGCACGCTCTCTCATCTTGACAAATGCACTGAACACAAGTGTCTGGCTTTGGAGGCAGATGAACTTGCATGCTTTGTGTGAAGCCAGAGGAGGGAGGACTAGATCAGTATCCTTCACTCATTCAGCAAACAGTGGAGGACTTACTATGTGCTGGATGCTGGGAATGCAGAGATAAATGGGGAGATAAGGGTGTGAACAGTGACAAGCATAGGTCATAGGCTGCTTTGAGATGCCGTGGTCTGGGCTAGGTCTCACAGTCAGAGAGCAAATGCAAAGGCCTAGGGGCAAGGAAACTTCCGGTAAGGAATACACAAGGACAAGGACACAGCCAGCCTCTCAAGCCTGAGGACTTTTGTGTCAGTGAGAGCCTGGCTCTCGTGCACCCAGGTTTCACTGTGCTTGCATCCTGGGCCAAAATGAAGAGCTCAGGCAGTCGGGGAGAAGTCAAAAAAATAGTTGTATGGAGGAAGCATCCAAAAATCAAGACGTGTTTTTCTAAGTAGCTGTGCCTGGCTTGCAGTCATGGCTGACTTTATGGTTGTGTGTGAACTGGTGTGTTGAGGAACTGCTGTGTTGGCACCTCCGAGTCAGCCATTCAGAGCTGGAAGCACCTCAGGGGGCGAGGAGGAAACTGAGAACTTTGGGGGAAGCAGGACACAGGCTGGGGGTCAGGCCAACTGGGCGCCACACCCGGCTCTGCACAGACTGGCTGGTGATCCTGAGAAAGTGACACAACCACGCTGAGCCTGTGTCCTCAGCTATGAGGTAAAGATGATGGGGATAGACCCCAAAGTGTGGTTGTGAGGATGCAGCAAGCTGAGGCATGTAGTTTAGCATGGTGCATGGCAGATAAAGCAAAGAAATGGCCAAAAAAAAAAAAGCAACTTACCTTAAACATTTTAGCTTAATTTAAAACACCAATGGGTCTGCTGATCAGATTGCAACATTTTTCTTTTTTTTGCATAAACCTCATTCATAATGCATTACCCACAATTTCCACTTTTGTGTTTTTATAGCAGAGCAAAAACTTAACAGGCCTTGACAAAGCGATCTGTATGCAGAATCCTTCTAGATTTTTATGTTCTTGGTCCCAATATATAGCTGTCTCCCCCACACTTGATTTAATAGTTATGTTTTATTAGGGTCACCTTTATTCATTCCATTTAGCTTTATTAGACACCTGTCCCTTTTTCACATGTCACTAGCTCACACGATATTTAATGAATTGCATAATTATAGTCATGTGTACAGTGTGGGACAAACATAACTCTTTTGAGGGGTATTTTAAAAATTTTTATTTTTTAACATAACTACCTCTTTTTAGAGGTAGTTTTTTTTTAGAGGTTTTTTTTTTTTTTTTTAATTTTTGGCTGTGTTGGGTCTTTGCTACTGTGTGTGGGCTTTCTCTAGTTGTGGCGAGTGGGGGCTACTCTTCGTTGCAGTGCACGGGCTTCTTATTGCGGAGCACGGGCTCTAGGCGTGCGGGCTTCAGTAGTTGTGGCTCGCGGGCTCTAGAGTGCAGGCTCAGTAGTTGTGGCACACGGGCTTAGTTGCTCCATGGCATGTGGGATCTTCCCAGACCAGGGCTCGAACCCGTGTCCCCTGCATTGGCAGGCGGATTCTTAACCACTGCGCCACCAGGGAAGCTCCCCGTAACTAACTCTTGACAGGCCACCTTACCTGATGGGAGCAGGGACACGCAGGTACACTAGCCCCAGCTGGTCTGCATGCTGCTATGAGCATCACTAAGTAGGTTTAGAAAGGGATGGAAAGGGATTCAGCAGGCTGGTGACAGGAAGATCATCTAAGAAAGCATCTAAACTATTTTTAATATTATTGATGCTCATTTCAAAGCAGCAAGTTGGTGTAATAAAACGACTATGGGCTTTGCAGTCAGGCAGATCTTCTTGTTCTGGAACCTTGGGCAGATTTTGGTTGTGCTCCTGGGTCTGTTTTCAGTTATAAGATGGGATGCCATCCCTGCCTCTCAGGGGTGGGGTGGGGGTGTATGTGTGAATGAAATAAACAAGTGTCACCCACGAGAGACACACAGCACAGGTTCTCCTCCCACCACAGAGCTAATTCAGATCAGCCACTGCCAACAGAGTTTGGCGCTGATCTCAGTTTCCTATACTTTCAGAAGTCAGGTTTCTAGCCCCTCTAGTGCCACCTTCAGTGCCAACCGCCAGATGATGATGCTGGAAGGGAAGTCAGGACCCTACTTCTCCTCTCTGGACTCAAGCATCAACATCCTGAAGAAGAGGGCCCAGGAGCTGATCGAAAACATCAACGAGAGCAGGCAGAAGGACCATGCCCTCATGACCAACTTCAGAGACAGCCTCAGGATCAAGGTGACGGATTTCCCCCTACATACTGCCAAACCCCAGTGAAAGGGGAGGGGGTTCTTCATGTAAAAAGTGAAAGGGGAGGGAATGAACCGCAGTTATGTTCCCAGCATGGTGCTAGGCAATTTGCATGCAGTACCTCATTTCACCCTTACAACAATCCTGCAAAGAGATTGGACACATTTTGTAGATGGGAAAAGTAAGGTTTGGAAATAATTTGCCCAAGTGAGAGAACCAGGATAAGAAGCCAAGGTTCATCTGCACCCACAGCCCAGGCCCCTACTTCATGTCAGGACTAATGGCTGTGGCAGGAGGGCATTGAGGCATAACCTGCATTGTCACACCCATTTGTCCTCCAGAAGTTGAATGATTTGTGACAGGAGAGTGGAGGTCCCTGGACATGGCTGGGGCTTATGTCTAACAAAGCCTGATGTTATGTTCAGGTCTGGTGTTAATGGTTGTCCCCGCCGACGCTTCTTCAGAATGCGTAATAGGTCCTGTGAGCTGGACAGCTTGTGGATTCCACATGTCATCTCTCAATGACAGGCTGACTTTTTTCCCTGCCCTCCACCATCCCTACCTACCCTGTACATAGAAAATTTAGAGAGTAGAGAAAAATATAACATAGCAGAAAAAATATAAAAACACCCTTATGCTACCACCACCCAGAAGCCACTTTGTTGCATGTTTTCTTTCCTCCTAACCTGGTTGAGCTTACACTATAATTTTGCACCTTGTTTTCTTTAAATATTTATTTTATTTTATTTTATTTATTTTCCTTTTTTTTTTTTTGGCTGCGTTGGGTCTTAGTCACGGCACACGGGATCTTTGCTGAGGCATGCGGGATCTTTTTCCTTACGGCGCGCGGTCTGCTCAGGTTTCTCTCTAGTTGCGGCACGCAGTCTTCTCTCTAGCTGTGGCGTGCGGGTTTTCCTCTCTCTAGTTGTGGTGCGTGGGCTCTGCGGCACACAGGCTCTCTAGTTGAGGTGTGGGAGCTCAATAGTTGTGGCACGCGGGCTTAGTTGCCGCACGGCATGTGGGATCTTAGTTCCCCGACCAGGGATTGAGCCCGCGTCCCCTGCACTGGAAGGCGGATTCTTTACCACTGGACCACCGGGGAATTCTCGCACCTTGCTTTTTAAAAAGAAAAACTTAACATATAGGCAATTTCACCTCCAGTCACAGGAGTTGTTTTTACCACTTTTATAAGATAAATTGCAGAAATCTTAAAGAGCCAGCTAGAACAAATGTCTTGTGATGCCTCTTGTTTGACTTTCCAAGAACATCTTATTCTTTCAAAGGTTTCAGACCTGACAGAGAAGCTAGAGGAGAGGATGTATCAGATTTATAATCACCACAACAAGATCATTCAGGAAAAGCTCCAAGAGTTCACCCAAAAAATGGCAAAGATCAGTCACCTGGAAACAGAGCTCAAAGAAGTGTGCCACAGCGTGGAGACCGTGTACAAAGACCTGTGCGGCCAGCCTGAGGTATGACTGAACTCACGCATGCACATGGGTGCCGCCAGAGGAACGAGAGTTGTAGCAGCTAAGATGAAAGTAAATGTCAACAGAGAACAAGGACATTAGCACCACCGGGCCCTAAACCCCACAGGGGCCACTATTACTGCAAAAGCCCTGGGGCTCTTGCCATCCCACTTGTGGCGCCGTGCTCCCCTGTAATGTGGTGAGTTCGAACTGAGAAGCTGGACCGTTATTTCCCACACTACGCATCAGCTCTGTGGTGACAGAAAGGACAAAGTCCCCTCTGCCCTCAGCCCTGAGCCCTGGCAGTGCCCAACCGGGTTTATTTATTACAGCTGAGCCCAAGATGCAGGAATGGATCACTCTGGGGTGGGGGAAATCCCCACCAGGTCCCAGCGCGCTTCACAGCCCCGACACACGTCCCTTTCTCCTGTGACTGAAATAACTTCTCGGGTGGTTACAAGTAACTGTGGTCCAACACTGTGGGCTCAGACATGCAGACTCTTTATTATTCTCTCTTTCCCCCTCACTCTGCTCCAACGTCCAGCATAAGGCACTTACCCTAAGATGGGAGGGTCAGAGGGCGCAGAGTAAAGTCTTGCTGTGTGGAGGGGGTAGTTTGTGTAGTCAGACACCAGGTGGGTCTCACAAGTTGCTTCCATGTCACTCTCCTTCCCTCTCCCTGCTCCCCTGTCAAAGGGAGCTTCTGTTCCAAGGTGAGTGGAGTCTGTTCCCATCCACAGTTAAAACTGGATTGAGAAACTCAGTACAGACAGTCCCATCTTCTTTTTAAGGAACACATTTGAATGACTTCAAAAGGGAAATTTTGATATTTAAAAATCAGCGTCTCTCACTTCCCACCAGAAGAAATGGCTCCATCTGCCACCTCCCTGACTAAGCTCAGAGCGCAGTGTCTCCCTGGGAAGGGGTTTGGTACCATCCGGGCTCCCAGGTGAAGTGGGTTCACTTGCTGGCTGTGAACGCCTGGATCCCTGTGATTGCCCTTCCGAGGATCAGAGCATGGATGTCATGAGTGCCTGGGCAAGATAAATGCAGAATTGTTTGGAGTCTTAACAGCTCACAACTTCCCTTTAAAGTCAATCTTCATGTCTCCCCACAGGCTACTACTTTGGAAGAAGAACAGACCCACAAAGACAGCGAATGCTGACGGCTGCCAGGAGTGCCCCCCTCAGTGACAGGCACCAAGGGGAGGCTCAGAGGCCACCTTTCTGGCCATGCCGAGAAAATTGTTTTTCAGAGTTCTGTAATGCATCTTGGCAAAAACCGACCGACCAACCAACCCAAAGCTCCTTGTGCCAGGCCCAAAACTGCAGCGAGTCCAGCCCCCACCATGGGCCAAGCTTTGGTGCTCCCCGATTCACCCGACCCCAACCCCACACGGTTGATTAAACATTTGATTTTCAACCCAGCCATGCTTTCTTCCCACAGAGGTGGAAAGAGCTGATGAGCTCTGCAGAAATGGATCAGACCCTTTTTCACTCACAGGAGGAATGGGAAAGCAAACATCAGACAATTAGTTGCCTGTCCCAGATGATCCCCCATCCTAGAGCCACCGCCCCACACCCCACATTCCACATCCCATCCCACATCCACATGTCTAAGTAATACTTTACAGCCCCTTTACAGTGTTCTCATTTGCTCTTCCTCAGCTTCCAGAGGTGGAAGGCAGAGATTATGGTCTCCTTTTATGGAGCAAAATAATTCTATTTTCTTCCTAAAGTGCAAATCTGACCCTGTCCCTCCCCTGCGTAGAACTATCTGAAGGTGCCCTCTGCTTGTCCTCCGGGTCATTGTCATGCCTGTAGAAACCCCCCACCCCCAGCCCTCCTTCTTGCTGTTTCTGGAATGTCCCATCCAGAATACCACATGGATGCTATTTCACCATCTCTGCCCAGAGAGCTCCTATACCTCCCTCAAGGCTTAACATGGTCCCACTTTCTCCCTAAGAGATTAAGTGCCTGTTACAGCTCCCTCTAGTTCTGTGTGACTCACACTGGAATTGTACACCTCTTTTCTTTTTTTTTTTGGCTGCACCACGGCTTGTGGGGTTTTAGTTCCCCAACCAGGGACTGAACCCAGGCCACCGCAGTGAAAAGGCTGAGTCCTAACCACTGGGCCACCAGGGAATTCCCCACATCTCTTTTCTTTTTAATTATCTTTTTCTATGTCTGTCTTCCCATGAGGCAAGGGGTTCTGGGCCCCATAAGAGTCACACTAGTTGTCAGGTGCAAACACCACAGCCTGCAAATGATTTACCTTTTCTCTTTTTTTCTCACATAAAATGGAGTGGTGATTCCTGTGCGTAGCTGCACTCTCACTCCCTTACATCCACCAGCTCGCTGGGCATTAATGCCCCGCTCTGGGAGTGCCTGTGGAAGCTGTAAGCAGGCTTGGGAACATCCCTCCCCTGGAGCATAATGGAGGAAAGGACTGGGAGGGTTTACTTCCACAGTCCCAGTATGGGCCACTCCAGATGAGGGACACAGGGTGGGACTTGCCCCAGGTCATGCTGCCGACTGGTGACAGCTGGGAGTAGGACTTGGGTCTGCTGTCCTCTTCCCCAGACGTGAGGCCACTGTGAACCCCACCCCAGGGATCTGGTCCCCACCTTCATAGGTGTTCACGGCCTCCAGGTTCATGGCATGCCGGATCACGTGATACTCATCAGAAATCCCATTCCCTCCCAGCATGTCTCGGGCCTGGCGGGCAACATCCAGGGCCTTCCCACAGTTATTCCTCTTCAGCAGGGAGATCATTTCCGGGGTGGCCCTGGGAACAGCACAGACGTGTAACGAGCATTGGATTATAAAGAACTGACCCTGCTTTGGGCATCCAGGCATCCCTACTCCCTGGACAAACCCAGCTGGGAGGAGGGTTACCGTCACAGCAACAGACACAGCTCCTAATGAGGGAGAGGCAGGAAGGGATGGGTCCCAAGGGGCCACCAGGCAGGAAGGACCTCTCTCTCCAGGGCCAGCTGCCACCATGCCCAGAACGGGCACTGGGTCCTCCCACCACAGCTGCCTCCCACTTCCTCCCCCGACACACAGCCCCTACTTGTCTTGATCCTTCAAGCGGCCGAGCTGCAGGCAGGCATGAAGGCCCAGTGTGATCTCAGTGAGCATGTCCGCCAGCTTCTTCTGAATCAGTTGGTTCTTGGCCAGTGGGACACCAAACTGGATCCTATGTGGTCAGGGTCAGGGTAAGTACAAGGAGGGCCCACTCCCCAGTCCTGTCCCAGGGCCTTCCCATGCTGCCTCAGCCCCCATGCAGCTCACTCTGGCCCTATTGTTGACTGAGCCCCTCACTGCTCAGAAGGACTTCCTCGGCCATTTCACAGAGCAGGGAACTTAGGTCTCGTGGGTGGGGGCCAGGGGTGGGGGGGTGAGAGACGGAACCCAAGCCCCCACGCACCCCCCCAGGAGTTTTCATGGCAGCCCCTACACACCTGTCCAGGGTGTACTGCTGGGCCATGTGCAAACAGAACTCAGCAGCTCCAAGCACACCCCAGGTGATGCCATAGCGGGCATTGTTTAGGCAGCCAAAGGGACCCTGCAGGGTTCAGAGGGGGCCTCAGCCCCACCAAGAGGAGATGAGAGGCCTGCGCAGAACTAACTTTTAAGTAGGGGGGAGGCCCCCTCCCCAGACACCCAAGACATGCAGTCAGTGTAAACAAGGGGGACTCAGGGCAACTGTTTAAGTCACACATGGCCCTGACACCAAAGCTCATGCACATAAGGTCTTGCTCACTGCCTGCTCACTCTTGGTTTGCATACAGTTCTACCCAGCCCAGGGTCTGGATTGGATACTCAGACCTGGGGTTGATGTAAGGAGACAGGAAGATGCACATGCATCAAAGGATTAAGCTCGTTCAGGCCTATATGTACTGGGCAGAGCCAGCATGAGTGAGATGGTCACCAAAATGGGGCAGCTTCTGCACATCAGTGAGCCAGGCAGAGCCTCTCCAAATCACTACTGTGTAAACTCCATGTGTGTCTGTTCCCCAGCTGGGTCTCTAGCATGGTACCTGCCCAAGAAAAGAGAACCAGCAGGTGACCTGATGCCAGTTCCCAAGGTGGCTGCTGCTTACCGCCAGACCAGATGCCTTGGGCAGCACATTCTCCTCTGGCACTTCCACATCGTCCATGATAATCATACCCGTGGCCGAGGCCCGCAGAGAGAACTTTCCCTCAATCTTGGGGGCTGAGAGGCCCCGCATCCCCTTCTCCAACAGGAAGCCCCGAATGCAACTATCTTCGCACCGAGCCCACACTACAAACAGGTCGGCCACAGGTGAGTTGGTGATCCTGGAGGCAGGACAGGCAGTGAGGCGTCTGGCCGTCACCCATTGCCCTTGCCCACCTGCCTGAGGCGCCCAGGCCCCTCACCAGGTCTTGGCCCCATTGAGGGTGTAGCTCCTGCTGGACGGGTTCTGGCGGGCTCTGGTCTCCATGCTGCCGGGGTCACTCCCATGGTTAGGCTCTGTGAGCCCAAAGCAGCCCAGGAGCTCCCCCTTGGCTGCAGGCATGAGACAGGGTCACGAAGCTGCTTCTCCCCCATTCATTTCCTCTACTGAAAACTGTCAGCCTCTCCACTGAGCCAGGCCAAGGCAGATCCAGCCCTGCCCTCACAGCACTCCCAGGTGGTGGGGGGACAGGTCTCACCCAGGCCCTAGTCACAATGCCATGATGGGGTGAGGCCCCATACAAGCCAGGAAAGGGTGGGCTAAACTGTCTTGAAGGGCAATGAAAAGGAGTTAGGCAGGAAAAGGTGTGAAGAGCAGTCCTGGTAGAGGGACCAGGATGTGCAAAGGCCTAGTGGTACAACTGAGAATTCCAAGTAGTTGAGTGTGGCTGGGAAGGAGCAATCAAGGGAGTGGCCAGAGATGAGGTGGAAAGATCAGCAGAGGCCTGCTCACATGGGGTTTTGTGGACCCGGTTAGGAAGTTAAGACTTTAAACTTTGGACTGGAATGGGGAGTACAGAAAGCAAATCACGGGGGATATGATGGTGGTGAGGAAGGGGCAGAGTTAAGAGAGACCTAGGGAAAAAAAAAAAAAAGACTTAGGAGAATCAGATGTGGGGGTGAAGCCCAGGGTCTGGCAGGGGGCCTGAGTGGCCACTGGTAATATCCTTGGGGTGAGGACAGAAGGCAGGCCTGGGGATAGCCCCGCCCCTGAGTTTCAGACCATTGGGACGGCCCTCCTTCCACCAGGCTCCACAGGCAGCTGCTCACCCAGCCGGGGCAGGTACTTCTGTTGCTGCTCCTCGCTGCCGTACGCGTAGATAGGGTGCATGACAAGGGAGGACTGGACACTCATCGCTGACCTGTAGCCGCTGTCCACTCGCTCCAGCTCTCGGGCCAGGAGCCCATAGGCCACAGATGAGACTCCAGCACAGCCATACCCTGGTGGGTGGGGGGGGGGGGGGGGGGA